CATTCATATAAATAGCAAAATATATGATATTAATTAGTCACAGATATTTCATGACCATTTGATGGCTTTACTAAAACTTCTGTTCATCTATTATTTATGATTCCTAATTGACGATTGATAAAGATTTGTGCTAAATTTTGTTTTTCTTACACGAATTATGAAAAAGATACCTCAAACAATGAAAGATTTATGTTTCAAACACATTGTATGTTGGGTCCAAAGAGCTGTTTGCTGCATATTTTTGGAGTTCCTTTTTCCATACTAAGTCATATATAACAAATGATCAAGACGTGAACATGTTGTCAAGGACACTAAGCAAGAAAATAATACATTCTTAAAGCTAGAGTGTCACAGGAAATTGAAGAAAACTTCTTCTGAGCTAAAAGTTGTCAATAAATTGTTTAAGAATGCAAATTCAAATTGGAAATTTGACATAATATATTAGTATTTATAAACAAATAGCTTTACTATTTAAAGCACCAATGTTTTTTTGTAATAATCAATACATGTCAAATTGTATGATTAATTAAGTAGAGACAATATCAATATAATCAGTTGTTGACTTCTAAGTTGACTTTGAAACTTGGCGTAAATTTGCACCAAAAGATATTTTTGATATATTAGTCCATATATTCAATGAATGAGGTCCATGAGAACCGTTTCTATGGCACATCGTGTCTGCCATGCCATCCTGTAGCTGCTATACATACAAGGGGAACAAAGTTCTTGAAATAAGGGGTGCGTGTACATATATATATATATATAGGAAAACTAATAAAAATGGTTTAAAAACTTTGAGTTTTAATGATAAGGACAAAATAAAGGGTAAAGTGAATAGTACTAGGATTGACTTTTTAGTATAAAAATGTGGTTTTTGTTTAAAGAGAACGATACCGGGAACTTTTCGTTAAAGTTCTCATTATATATATATAGTATTTATATGTATGCATGTATGATTGATTCATATATACTGTTGTCTACGCAACTACAGCTGTCTAAATCTATCAAAAGACATTATAATGATTGATGGTCCTGTCTTGGTGTAATTGAGAGAGATATATGTACAAAGTCAAAAGCATGTGTATGCATCTAAAGTATCTTCTGGCATTTCTTCTCCATCTCTTTCCTTTTTGTTTTGGTTAATTATTCTTTTGTTTTCCTTTTTTAATTATCACTATTACTTCAATTATAACACTTGTTATGAGTGCATGTGATAACATGTTTTTTTGTTTGAAGCTGTGTTGCTGACGCTCAATAAAAAAATTATCATGCATCTTAAGAAGTATAATTTTTATTCTACTTTTTCATAAATGAGCCATGAAAATAATTTTCTTACAGTGTCAATAATGAATTTATTTTCTTTCCATATATTATGACACACCCCGACCGAGATCAAGGCATGATGGCCGTCACGTAAGAGTGACGTAGCCATGTACACAGTGCGGAAGCAAAAATGATAGGAAATATACGAATAATTAAAAACCGAATTACTAGAGTGCACTACTAAACCGGAAGTGATAGGAGTTAGTTACAAAAGTAAATACTCCTAATCAGAGCATAAAAGTCTAGGTGCAATCCAGTAGGACAAGTACTAGTTATACAGTACCAGGAATGTCCTACTATTATTTAGATAGATCAAAACTGCTGACGTCCTCAAGCCACCAACAACAAGCTTACTTAAAACATGGAGGGGCGCAAAACAGAAAACGTGAGTGGGCAAAAACAAATGTTTTACAAAATCATTTCATTTATCAACATATCTAACCCCTCGCTGTAAAACATGTATAATTTTTTCCAGAATCAAGATATAAGCATTTACATAAATATGTATGAAATCATATCAATTCAATTCATGCTTCACATAATCATATTCATATGTATGCCATGCCAAGATATAACAGAGTAAGCAATTCAGGTAAGAATAATTTCATAGAAATATAACATGTTAGCTGGAAGCCTTGTGATAATTTGTACGGCTGAATTCATAGCTCAAAATCAATCTAGCCGGAGTCACTATAATGACCTATACGGCAATATACTGCACAAGAGTCGGAACCAAACAAAAAGGTATGTACGACAATAATGGGTGTAATATAATCATGCTCAATACTACTCTCACATAATAGCTGGGCGATAAATCGCTAGTCACCTACGAGTCGGAACCATGAATAAGGTATGTACGACAAAACTATGCACCTAAATTGGATCCAATATGAGCATATGGTGCGGGAGGTGACATAATAAACAGGCATGTGCCATAACTCTGGCTAAATCACAAACACCCTAAGTACAATTTTATGAGCTCAACATTATTCAATCACATATCACATCATCGATGATTCACATAACCAAACATAACTTACCTGAGTTTACCTGAGCGTCCACAGCACCACAATTATATATAAAGTATCATATACCAATTCATGTTCAATTTATGAACTTATATGCAAGGCATTTATGGCATACTATCATTTAAACACATATTTCTGGGAAAATATCAAGTATATAATATATACTGAAAGCCAAAAGCCCACTCACTGGTATGTCGAAGGGTCGTAGCCCCCGAGTCGCCCTTGGATACACTCGTCCTCGAGATAAGTCTCACCTATATGCGAATTAACTATAAAAACGTTATTTTAGAGCATATAGACAAAACTAGCTAATAACTTCTCATACATAGCTCAAAATGGGTATATGAATATACCACAGTGACCTACACAACCTCAAGGATCATCCCCGAATTTTTAGTTTAATTTTTCATCCACCCACGCGCCGGCGAGTGCACGGCAAGACGCGCGGCCACGCGCAGGGAATCCTGACGAATTCTCTAACTACCGTTAGGAATATTCCCCAGAATATTATGTTAAAACCAACGGTAATTGTTAATTCTAACTGACGGCGTTAGCATATTCCGTTAACCTTAACGGAATATGCTCATTTCTTCTCTGGCGAGTCGTTGTTCGCCAGTGACTTTGCCGGTTTTTAGGTAAAACTTCAAAACCACTATTCTCCTTCGTTTCTTCACCATTTTTCATGAAATTGGTACCAAAATGAAGCTAATAACATGTAGAATCACGTTATACAAGTTTCAAGGATTAAAATCTACTAGGTTTTTCCCGAGAAAGCTCGATAGCTCAGCTTACCTAGATAAACGTCGATCTCAGCCCTCCAACGTCCAAATCCTTCCAACGAAGTACCCCGAGACTCGTGAGGATCTCCTTAAGCCTCCTATGTCCTTAGAATTCCCTGAAACACAAGGTTTTACGTGTGCATGAACAGTGCACAAAATCGGGGTTAGGGTTTCTCGGGTTTTTTCATGGTTTCAAGTCTTAAGAATGGTATAGACGTACTCAAGGACTTGCAAGGAACAAGAATCTCACCTTTAGAACGTCGATCCGTGTTTGAAGATGAGCTTTGTTGCTTGTCCGTACGTAAGGGAAAGAGAGAGAGTCCGAGAGAGAGAGTGTCACATCCCGGCCCGGGGCGGATCACTTCCCGGGCCCACTGGGAAGTTGCTCGTGAGTTCCCATAAACAAAACCGTGAGGGCGTGGCGGGGCTCAAAGCAGACAATATCGTGCTACGGTGGTGGAGCGGGCCCGGGAAGTGATCCGCCCCCGGCGGGGATGTGACAGAGAGAGCACGGGAAGGAAGAGAGAGGATGAGTGTTGTGTGTGTGAGTTCCACGTGGTCACCAACCAACCAAGGAATTAACCTCTAAGGCCTCGTTTGGCAGCTCGGACTGTACTGACTATTTCAGTCGGATAGGATAAATAGCCATCGGATAGTACTGACTAAATTAATCGGGCGTTTGGTGCAGTATCGGACTAACGACCGTATTATTTATACTGCGTTTGGTACTATACCGAATAAGAAGAATTCAAAGTATTATTAATTTTTAAGATAAAAATAGATGATTAATAAAAACAAGGGGAATTTTTTTTATTTTTTTTATTTTTTTTTTACACTTAATAAAATTCACAACCACCTAATGGATCAAAGTAAAACAAAAAACAAAATCTTCTTTTATTTAAATCAAGTTACTTAAAATACAATTAAAAAAAAAAAAAAAAAAACTCTTCAGTCTTCCCCAGATCTCTCTGCCGCACTGTCCCCTAACAGCATCAGTCTCTATCTCCTTACAATTATTGGCCTAAAGAGGCATTGAAATGCATCGTCAAGCAGATCTTCCCCCTCTGTACATCTGAAACTAATCCAAAAAATACCCCGAAACTAATGAAATTAAATCACAATCAGAAAACAAAAAAGGGGAAACATGCAAAATCGTAAAACCCAGATGAAATCTTTCCGAATTTTTGAATCTTGTCATCGAATCCAAGTCAAGGTTCTAAAACCCAAATGAAATCTTTCAGAATTTGTGCGGTGGTGGTGCGATTGGTCTCTCTGTGGGCGTCTGAATTAAACCAAAAAAATGGCAACAGCGAGAACAGAGCTGGGGAGATCAGCGTCGGCCGAGGAGGACGGAGTCGATGAGAGGAGACCGGGAGAACAGAGCTGGCCAGGGGAGATGGCAAGCACATAGCCAGCCAAAGGAGACAGGGAGAATGTAGTCGGCGAGAGAATGAGACGGCGATGGAAGCGAAAAAGAAAGCCCAGTTCACACGAGAGAGAAAGGACCCGACTAAATTATACACTCATTTTGGACGGGTTTATTAAGAGGGCGTACATCGTATAAAATAAGCGCATCGGATTAAATTAGTCCGGGTCCAATTTAATACGAGAGCTCACCAAACACCCGGCTCCGTATTAATAATCCTATCCGATGCTATATACGACATACCAAACGAGGCCTAAGTCTCATAATAAGTCACACACACACACTACAATCTCAACGTCTAAGGATAAAACCGTCCTTTCACGTCCTCGAGAAATAAATAATACACATCTTCGGGACGGGCTGTGACATATTAGGTTGCCATTAGTAGCAAGTATGATAAGCAAAGTATATACTGGTCTCAGTCGTTCGAATTGAAATAATACATATACAGAACAAAATTTCCATTCATTTGAATCTCATTTCTGCCTTGCGGCTCTTTACATTATTTTAAAAAGAAGAAAAATATTGTGAAATTAGAATACACCTACCTACTTAAATACAATTGTCACATTGGGTGAGGAATTTTCCTCTTCATGATCTCTTGCATGCCAAAAAGAAAAAGAAAAGGAAAAAAAAAACATGATATGGCTTGCATATCATGTTTTGGTATATGAATACTCTTCTTTGTACACTCGGCTTCCTCTGCAGCAGCATGTTTAATTTCCTGTATCTTGACCTCTCTGACTTTTGGGTGTTTTCGGAGCGTGGTCATAATATACGGTGGCTTTAAGTATACTGAGATATAAATTGGGCAGACGAGGTGATGGGGATGTATGAATAATTTGTTTCCCTCACACTTGTTTATTTTGCGTTCGCATCTCTCCTTTTGCGAAAAAGGAATTGGACTTTGGGGTGGTGGGTTTCTTCATGCATAAGATTTGTGTCTAGCGCGCGCGCTCTCTCTCTCTCTCTCGTGCGTGAAATGTATATTTCTTGATTTGTTTGTCAGGTCGCAGCCAGAAGGGTCAGGATCTGAAAGTTGGGGACTCGGACTGTTTTGGGAGTATTATGGGGTTATATGATAGTTTTAGGAGATAATCTGATGGGCAGGCCATTTTGGGGAAGAGCAAAAGGGCCATACTGTATGCCAGTTTGTGCACCAACAATAGACCATCTGCACAAAGCCACATACATAACATGTCAGCCACCTCCACAACCAGATCAACAAATTTATTTAATTTATATAAATATAACAACATTCTACTTCTAGAAATTGAGGAGGAGGTGGTGGTTGCAGCTCTGCAGTGCTGCCACTGCCAGTTGCATGCCTACCCTCTCGCATCAAAACTACCAAATAAGTGAAAGTACCCACCTGTACTTTGTTGTTAGGTGGTGTAGAAAGACCAAAATCTCCAGCTTGGCCAATTCATTCCCTGGACATGAGTGGTTCCCGCTGCCAAATGGCATGTATGTATTGGGTTTTGGAGCAACCTGTGTCAGACAGTAACATAAAGATCATGAGTATAGATCCACTATACATGCATCTATCTCCAATGTATCCAATATTTTGAATGAAGAATGAACTTATGGCGGATGATGGTGGTGTTTACCTCAAATCTGGAAGGATCAAACTTGTCAGGGTCAGGAAAGATTTCTGGGCTGTGGTGAATATTTCTGAAAAGTGGTAATACTTTCCACCCTTTTGGTATCAGATAACCTGAAAACATATCAATATTTGATCATCAGCAAACAACAGATTATTAAGTTTAAAGTAATTTCAAGTAAGAAAATAGAAAAGGAAAAGTAATAAATGTTTCGTTTGGTAATTACTGACCTTCATATTCAACATGCTCCACAGCTTCCCTGAAAGTAAAAGATAAAATGGAAGCAACTCTAAGTGTCTCCTGAATAACTCTACAAGTCATGGGCATCTTTTTGGTATCTGCCCAACTAAGAACTTTATCCTCTTCCTCTTCTTTTGACCTTACTATTGCTTCTTGCTCATCCTGTAGAATCACAGCCATTACAAAAAATTAGAACCCAAAAAAGGAACTTCCAAAAAAAAAAACAAAAAAAAAAACAAAACAAAAGAGAAAAATGGAACAAAAGAAATTGATGATTAGAAAGCTTACAGTGACAGCTTGAAGCACACTTGGGTTTTCCCCAAGGTACTTGACAATCCAAGTCAAGACGCTGGCCGTGGTGTCACGGGCAGCGAAGATGACACCAATTACGTTGTCGGCGATTTGTTGGTCTGTGAGGCCTTTGTTGTCACCCATGAATGATCCGAGAAGATCCTTATGCTCCTCCTCCTCCACCTGCATCCTTTGCCTCCTTTTAGATATAATTTTGGCCAAGATCTGAGCAAGCTCCTTCCTTGCTTTCATTGACTTGTGAAACAGTGTGCCTGGAAGATTAATGGGCATTGAATTGTATCCCTTCTCAAGAATGTAGTAACACCTCTTCAGATCCTCTCTGTACAGAATCTCATCCTTTCCAAATATAGAAAGGAGTGCAACATTGAATGTGAACTGCACCACCAAAAGTTGATTCATCGGTACACAATTTAACATTATGTCAACCAAAAATGTTATATCAGCACAACAATTCACGGCAGGAAAATGTTCTCTTGGCCGACTGTTAATCTTGTCAAACTAGTTGAGGTGACTATCAGTCTCGTCAGACTACCAGCTCGATTTTTGCCATGTGTAGCAGTTTAGATTCAGAATTTGGCTAGAGAACATTCCCGAGAGCTGTACATTTACAGCTCTCTAATTCGAATTCTCTCTGTTTTGCTCTGTTGAGAGAGTGGGGTGTGGCAATAATTACTCACCGTTTTCATTTCTTGGAAGGTGTTGATCAAGCGGCCTTGGCAGGACTTGAGAGAGTCTTTGGCAATGGATTCAATGTCAGGGATGATACTTCTGACGGCTTCCGGCATGAAGGCACGAAGGACAAGCTTTCTCAATTTGGCATGATAATCTCCTTGGTGGAAAAAGATGGCTTCTTTCCCCAACATCCTCTCTTTGCTTGCCGGAAAAGTTGGCTTGAACAGATGGGCTCGAGAAAGCACGAATTTCGCCGCTTCCGGGCTCGAAATCATCACACATGGACAACCCAAGATGTGGGTTTTGAAGATTGACCCAAACCTATGAATCAAAATGTTCAAAACATATATCATCAGTACATAAAATCAACTAGCTAGTCCCTCAATTTAGAAAGAAAAAGAAAAAAGAAAAAAAAAAAAGAAAGCCCGAGATGTGAATTAAAAGAGCAAATACCTCTTTTGTTTTGAGGCAAAGAAGACATTTGGGTTTTGAGAGTAGAGTTGGAAGGTTTCTCCAATGTAAGGCCAGCCCAAGGAACCCGGTGGAAGTGGGATTTTCCGGCGAACCGGAGTGAAGAGCTTGGTGATGAGGGAATTGATGACAAAGAGGAATAAAACAACAAAGGCAAAGATGCAAAACATGGAGTTTAGGAGATTCAGCTCCATTATATTTCTTGTTTTTCTTGGAATTGAAATGAATTAAATTGTAGTGAACTGACTGACTGGTAACTACAAAACCATTAAGCAGCAGCAGCAGCAGAAGAAGAGGGACGAAAACAACCAGTAGTGTTGTGAAGAAAACAAGTGAAGTGGTGGGAATATTTATAGGGTATTGGGAGAGGAAGAAGAGAGGAATAGAGAAGGTGTGCGGCGTGCTCCTTTCATTTACAGCTCGAATCCCACACACGGAATCTCCCTCCAGCTCATTCAGACGCTTTCACTTGTTTTACTATTTTTACTCTCTCTTCTTTCTTTTTTTTCTTTTCTTTTTTGGCTTTACAGAAGCCGAGGGGTTGGGGTTGGGGTTGGGGTTGGGGTTGGGGTTGGGGTTGGTCTAGCCAGAAAGCTTTACAACTCTCCACTTCATTTTGAATTTTAACAGTGCCTTTTGTGGGACCCTCCGACTCTGTTTTAAAGTATTGCTTGATTCGGCTGTCAAATGCACACAACCGCCTCATGTTGTATCAAAACTGCATTCAAAATGAACTAGTCTGCTATAACGTGTAGTGAGATTCATGTGCTTCTTATATCATTATGTAGTGGAATGCCTCTTATATTTACAAGAAGGGTTTTAGAGAGAGAGAGAGAGAGAAGAGAGGAGAGAGAGCACGTGCAGAAGCAATGCATAAAAAACGTGTACCGTGCAAGTTTCCTCATTAGGAGTTTGACCGTACGACGAGGCGTTGGTGAATCACGAAATATGTGCGGGTTTTTATTACCGGAGGAAGAACACTTTCACACGCGCGCGAAAAGCTTAAACGCAAAAACACCTCTTTGAGCAATACAAAAGGCAACCTTTATCTCATCCTCTATCATCCGTACTCTTTTTGAGATATAATACTCTTTGCATTGCATTTACGCACCCATTCCAATTTGTATTTTCCATGTAGGGGCCTTTTTTTAGTATGATTTAACTGACTACGTATCTCTTAGTTTTAAGGATTTTTTACCATGTTTCAAAGTATAAGATACTTCATGTGTTTTAATCGTTAAATTTTTATTTAACAACAATCAAGTTTTATCTCATTACATGAGGTCGGCTGTAGGAATTCTAAAACACCACTGTCCTCAATTTTGTATTAAGTCTTCCATTAGTTTCAAGTATTATATATCTTTTCTTATAGTTTCTTTCAAAGTCTACCTAGATCTTCCTCTACCCCATTTTGCCCTAAGTCTCCGTCTCATAGTAACATTTTCTAACCGCAGCATTTGTAGGTCTTCGGTTCACGTGTCCAAACCATTTTAACCAATTTTCTCTCATCTATCTTCAATTGCAATCACTCCTACTTTACCTCGGATATCCTCTTAATCCTATCATTTCTCATATACCCACACATCCAATGAAGCATTCTCATCTCCAGTACACTCATTTTTTGCATGTGCTACTTTTTGACCGTCCAACATTTCATGCTATAAAGCATTGCTAGCCTTACTACTGTACTATAAAAAATTTCTTTGAATTTTAGTGGCATACAACGATCTCACAATACACCTAAAGCACTCTTTCATTTCATTCATCCAACTTGTATTCTATAGTTGAGATCTTCATCTAATTCTCTATTATTTAGTAGGATAGATCAAGATAACGAAAACGTTCACTCTTTGGTACTTCGTGATCTCCTATCCTCACCCCTATCTCATTTGGGCCCACTGAACTTGCACTCTATATTCTCTATCTTTAACATACTTAGGTGAAGACTTTTAGATTCCAAAGCTTTCCACCAAAGGCTAAGCTTCGAATTTACTCCCTCATGCATTTCATCTATTAACAATATATCATTTGCAAAAAGCATACACCAAGGGATATCATCTTGAATATGTCACATTACTCGTCCATAATCAATGCGAAAAAGGTAAGGACTTAAAGATGAACCTTCTTGTAACCCTATGGTTATAGGAAAGCTTTCCAGTTGTCCTTCATATGTTCTTACTGCAGTCCTTACTCCTTTATACATATCTCTTATTGCTTGGATATATGATACTCGTACTTTTTTCTTCTCTACAATCCTCCAAAGAATTTTCTTTTGGGATCTTATCATACACTTTTTCCAAATCAATAAAAACCATATACAAATCCTTTTTCTTATCTCTATGTCGTTCCTTCGATCTTCGTAAAAGATGGATTGCCTCCATTGTCGAACACCTTAGAATTTTTGCTTAGTTAAATAGTATTTCTCAAAGAAAAAAAAGTAAATTTTAAATCCAATTCCTCTTTCTTTTTTTATTAAAGAAAAAATGTAAGAGCATCTCCAAAAAGTTTTTTTTATACACTTGCTATTGCTTAGTTATTTTAACAAAACAAAACAACAACAACAAAAAACAACTAAATTTTGCTCCGAGACACTTAAAAGGCCAGCTATTTAGCTCAATGAACAGAAGACTAATAATAAGCTAGACATTAAAAAATGGAAACTCTCCAACTATTTAAGACGTATTTATTAAATATTCATAGTTGTTGGAAGGCTTGTTATATTAAGACCTTACATATTGTTGAATACACCCACATACTTAATAAATCCCACAGTTGCCCTTTCAATTAAAATTCATGTTAATACGCCCCACATACATTCCCATAGACCCTCACATCCCACACTCTCAACATATACCTTACATCATACATCCCACATTTTCTACATACATGCCGCACTCTTCACATTATTAACAGTAATGTCAAAAGCCAATGCACAATTCACATCCACTGGATTTTTAAAAAAGAAACAAATCTTATTAATCATTTAACATGTAGATTCCAATACAATTACAATTTCCCTTCTTTCTTGGCTATGGCTGCCCTCAATATGCACGTAAATAAAATAACGAAAATAGTAACTCTCTAAGCCCTATAGACTGAAGATCAAAAACGAATTTAGCCTCCGTCTGCCCCTTTTCCCGAACATTGTAAAATCCTTGAATTTCTCTTCAGCATCGGCACGAAAATGATCATGTCAAATCTCTTCATGTTCTAGTCACTTATATCACGATTATGCATCAAGCACAATATGATCATTTGAAATCTTAGGCTGCAAATTCTTCACTTTTAGTCTTTTACTCAGATTCTTCAAAGCAATAGGAAAGTTCCCAACATCATTTTCATCTCGCAGGGGCAAACTCCTACCACAATTTTTTGCAACAAATTCTGTTCAATACCGTCTTAGAGAAGCTCTTCAAAATCACTATATTTTCCCTCTAAATCAAACCAAACACTACTCATTCTTTGAGAGTTAAGAGTATTTCGAAATAACACTTAAGCTTATTTGATCGAATACCACCCATTCAGTACCTGTTTGAGCTCTTTCTAGTTTTACCGATGTCTCTTTGTAGTTTCACTCTTTGTGGTTTCATTAGTAGGTTTGTTCTACAACAGAGGGTGAGAACGGTTTTGAGAGTTGAAGAAGATAAATAATCTTCAAATATACACGTTAAAAGTGATTTTGAATGTATTTAGATTTTTTTTTTTTTAAACTTTATGAGGTTGAAATTGGCATTGCATATTAGGGTATATAAATTATTTAATATTAAATTTTAATGTGGGGTGTATTCAACATTATGTGGGGTGCTAATATAAAAAAAAAAAAAAGCCTTGTTGGAAATATGAAGTTAAATTAGAAAGTCAAAACCATATCCAGACAATTTTATTTTTATTTTTTATTTTTTATTTTTTATTTTTTTTGGTGAAAAACCTCAGTTGTACGAGGGAAATTTTATTGATAATGAAAAAAAAAGTTACACCTAGTTACAGGGGGCTAAAACCTTACCCTCATAATACAAGAAACAAAAAAAGGAGAAAACGTATATGAAAATGAAGAGGTGACATAAAACTTACCCTCTAGAACCGAAAACAAAAAAGATACAAGGAAAAGAAGGGAGGGTGATATATGAAACCTAACCCCTCTAAAGCCAAAAGGTTTAAACATGTAAACAAGTTGAACAACACCACAAGGTAAGGGAAACAAAGAAAGTGAGACAAACATATATGTCGAGATGCACCTTTGAGAAACAGAAGCCAAACAAGCCAACATAGTCTAAAAACAAAGTAGCACGAGTTGTAGGGGGAGGAGAATCATGCCATAATAAATTTGGAGAACACAAGCCCATATTAGCAAAATTATCCTCAAAAATATTTCCTTCACGATATATGTGAGAGGTGTAGAAAGTCATCTTCTAAATCGATCCAAACAAATATACCATTGCGTATGAAGATGCCAAGGAAAATCAACATTAGTCGATTGGAGAACGGAAATAACACTAGAAGAGTTACTTTCCAGCCAAAAACAATGTCAACCCTCATGATTAATTGCTGATAACTCTACAAAAAAATAAAAAAGAGTTGTGATGACCAATATATTGGCAGAAACCGAAAAGAAAATGATCATGGCAATCTCTGAAAACTCCTCCGCATACAGCAACATTTGTATTAAGTTTAATCTAAGAAAACCAAGGAGGAGACCAAAGCACATGAAGAATAGTAGGCACCTTGCTAGTGATAGGTCGGATTCCCATAGAAGAAATCATACGAGTGTCAACACCTTGAGAATAACCAGGATTAAACTTCAACGATTCGAACCGTCTATTTTGTAAGTCTCGATTCATAAATCATCCTTGCAAAAATTCAATTCAATCCGAAACCATTTACCTATTTAATTATCACGATGAAATTTCAATGATTCTTAGAGAACAAAGTGTTCATCAATTTCTTTGAACTCAATTAGATGCTTCAAATATTTCCGATTTTGCTAATATTTTGTAAGGATGATCTATGAGGTGTAACTTGAAAAATAAACGGTTCAGATCGTTAAAGTTCGATGTGGTGTGGGCCCCCCAACTAATCCCCATTTTTATAAAAAAAATGGGGATCCCTTCCCTTAAAGGCTTCCTATATATATATATATTATAATTTTTTTTAGAAAACCTTGACAGTACGAGGAGAATTTTAATGATAACGAAAAAGAAGTTACACCTAGTTAGAGGGACATAAAACTTACCCTTCTAGAAATAAAAACAATAAAGATACAAGGAAAGAGGGGGAGTATGAAACCTAACCCCTCTAAACCCAAACCTAAAAGTCTAAACCTGTAA